GAAGGCCAAGAGAAAGGCACCCATTGTCGCCTCACCCCCAGTGACAGTGTCAAAAGCGAAGGAACCCTTGGAAGCTGAGATTGTTTTGGTAATTGTTTACTTTTCTAATGTTACCCACGATACGGGAAAAGGTAACCCAAACAATGACTGCAAACAACTAAATAGTCCAAAAGTTATATTAGGTGAGCCTGAGTTATATAACGCTGGGTCCAAGGCCAACTCTTTTTCCAGCTTCACAGGAAAAAGCCAAGCAATGATCCTTCATTTATCTTTGCTCTAAACTTTTGGCATTCCTCTTTCATCCCCCTCACTAGTCCTGGCAGGTTCCAAGCTCTCAGAGACAAGAAAATTCTTCTTAGCTTTTAGATGTCTCCTTTGAACAGGTTAACTTATACCAACAAGGGAGAATACATTTTAAAAAATAAATAAAAAATAAAAAATAAAAGTTCCTAATGAGGCTTTGAGACTTCAGAGTCTAGTCTGCAGGAAACAAATACAAACTCCCATGCAATAGACAATTTTTGTTAGAAATCTGCTTGCTGGTTTATTTCATGAGGGCAAGATGTGAGTATTAGGCTCTATGAATGCTGAGTCATTGCCAAGTTTTTGATTCATATGAAAACATTCTCATATTCATAGTCATTTGTTAAATAAATGTATATAAATGTGGTTTTATTCAAAGACTTATAGTCAATGAGAAATACTGACTGTAGTCTTTGAAGAAACATAAGTTTAGATTTGCTGTGGCTAAGCTCCGATTTTGGATAAGAAACAAATGATAGCATTAATAATTCAAGGGTCATAAATGTACCTCCAAATTTCAATTTCACATATGAATAAATTCTCACAACAATTAAGCTGCACACACTTTTTAAAAAATGGATTATAGAGCTGATTGACAAGTATACATTTGTTATTTCAATATAAACTCCAACAGTTGCTCTTGAAAAAAGGAAAAATTTGCTCTGTAAAATTGAGTAATGCAGATACTTTAATCTGTAAATTTCTTTGTAATTCATCAATTCTCATGAATATCTCCAAATTGCAGTCACATGCAGCCCAGCTAATTCTTGGTTAATTCTGATGATACAAAATGTAAAGTGACATGTGTTTTACTTCTCAAATATTCAGGCATTAATTGGCTAAAAAGATCATCAAGTTTTACTGAAACCTTTCTCTTTGATAAACCAAGAATCTTGCTTGAGAAGATACATTTTCTCCAAGGAATAAGATAAGGCTATTTCCATGATAAGGGGAAATATATAATTCAAAGATTTTATTTTCTTGAAATAGCCCTCACCAAAAAAAAGAAAGAAAGAAAGAAAGAAAGAAAGAAAGAAAGAAAGAAAGATGCCATCTAGTCATCCAGTCTAATTATTTCCACTTACAAATTGAAAACAGTCTCAGAGAGGAAAAATATTATTTACTAGAAAACATGGAAATTGATTCCAGAACCTAATATCTACGGCTTTACAGAGGCTGAGGCATTTTCTTTGCCAACAATTCCCCCAATACTGAACTATAAGAGTGCATACTATACTACTAGATAAAACATTTTCAGAACGTGAGGTCATTCCCAAAATTCTTCCCTTGAGTTAATGACATTTTCTTTATATGTGTGTATTTTGAAAGGTCACAAAAAATATAAATTTTCAAACAAAAATATTAGTCTGAAGACTAAGTCCCAAACTCTTGAAAATTACTTTTTTCTGAAAAGATAAATTCTGAATATTTTTAAGAATCATTTTATGTTTGAAAAATAAGTGATTATAATCTAGATTTATAGCTACGTAAATGACATGGTATCTAAAGGTCATATATTATCTTAACATATATCTATAAATGAAGAATTAATGTTTATCTAACTCAGTTTAAAGGCTTGTTATTTGAAAAATATAGTAAAAATGATAAGTGAAATTCATAAGAAACACACTAAAGGAAATAACTCCAATGACTTTGAATATGCTTATTGATCTGATATTGAAATAAAAAGACCAACTTCTTTACCTCAGCTCTTTTGAAATATGTATTACTGAGAGGAATATGAATCCAAATCCTTGGAGAAAACATAAAGTTATCATCCCCTTAGTCTATTATTGTAAAGGTATAATTTATTAATCAGGTGGAATTTGAGTTCTCAGGTCTTCATATAAACTATCTTAACAATTCTAAAATAGTAACATATAATGAGCAAGCCCATTGGGAAGCTGGATAAAAAATTGTATTTAAATCATGTCAAAGTACTTATCCTTGCAAGTTGACTTTTTTTCTGACAACAAAAATATATATTTCTAAATATGGCTCTATATTCCTATATAGATCCAGAAATATATTCTATGTATTTCTAAACTTAAAATACTTTAAGGCAATGAAAAGAAGAATTTTGTTTCTGAAAGGCTAGTTCAAAAAGTGAAAATAAAAATAAAAACAAAACTAACTTAACAAGGCAAATCTTGTAGGTATCAAAAATAAATATAGATGATTACATAGAATGTTTAAATTTTTATTGATTTATATCCAAGTTTGGCAATTTGCTTTATATAATGTAGAGGAACAAATATAAACTACACATTTGCAATTTATGCAACACAATAGTATATTATGATTGCACGGCCATATTTTCCTTTCAAATACCATGACATTTAAAAATGCCTGTTCTGTTGTAATCAAAATAACATTATTTAAGGAAGGTGGACATTGAAATAGCAAACCGATGTGGTGAAATTGAAATGAATTAAGTGCTTGGATATTTCATATGACTCTGGGTTGTATATTTTAATGTACTCATTGATTTTCACAAGAAACTACTTATAATGAATGTGGAGGAAAGCTTATCACTGATTTTGATCTTAAAATTCAATATAATCATGACAAAGAAATTCAGGTATTTTAAAGCTAGTACTCAACCTGTAAAGGACACCTAAAAATAAATCCTCAGAAGTGCTCCATAAACTAATAATATTTCTGTTTTTAAGGCATTTGGAACTGGAGACCTTATTTAGTTTTTATTTGTTTAGGTTTTGAGAAGAAATTGTCCACAGTTTCTTTTCTATTTCTATGGTATCTTTCTTTTTATTTTATTTTTTTATCTGGTCTGCTATCTTGGCATTAGAGAGCTATTCCTGTCTTCATGTTTTAGAACTTGGGTCTGAGGTGTACTCATCTGCATGTAAGACCGCGTTTGCACCCTAATCTCTTTGTGGATGTTTTGTTGGCTTCCTCGTAACTTAAAAGTCTAAGCCCTCATCTCTATGTTCCTAAAGACAAATCCCCTTGACACATCGGCACAGCCAGGGTGGCGTTTCTTCTGCACACGAGGCGTGAGGTTCTTGGTAAATTATCTACAAACAAAATTGACCAAAATGTCACTGGTCCGGATGATAGCTATACTGATACCAATTATATAGTTTATTGATTTTTTTTTTCCGTTTTATCTGGCACCCATTTATTTAGTACGTATGTATTCACAGAATTTTGTGTTAAGTACTTTGATGTGACAGACCCTTTGTAGAATGATGAGGAGACACAGTGAGTGACGTCAGCAAGGCCTCTTGCCTCATGGAGTTCTTGTCACGCAGGAAGAGAGACGGATCAGTGAGAGGTGATAAGACATTGTGATAAAGGCTGTGGGTAGATATGTGGTAAGCTGAAAGAGAGCCACGTAGGAGTGCCTAACTCAGTCTGGAGGGGTCATCCTGCTGAAGGATGTGATGCCTAAGCCGAGAACAGAGAGGTGAGCCTGGTCCTGCTCCAGAAGCACTAAGGCAGTTGCTAGAACATTGGGCACAGACAGCAAAATAAGACATGTCCTTTCCGTGCTTCTTTGCAAGGCTCGGGTGTCTGATGGGCCATGACCATGTTGCCCTGCAGACAGATATAAAGCATAGAATACTGAAAGATTTACCTCCGCTGTTCCAAATAGTGCCGAGATTTCTTTGAGTACTACCATGACTCAGGAGAATTAAGGGTTGAATTAAGACCATCAGAGGCTCTGAGCACCAGAAAGATCACCGTGCGCTTTCCCCATGGCTGTGCCGTCATGTGACGCATAGAAAGGGTGGGGTGAGGGTGCATCAGACGAGGGGTCTAGGTGGTTAGCTTTTTGCCCATACCTTCTGTCAAATCCCCATCCAATATCCCCTTCTTCACCCTCCAATACGGTTTCTAGACATGCCCCTAGCACCACTGACCCACCAGGTTGCTGCCAATAAGCTACTTCTCTCTAGAAATTCTGGGATCAGCTGTTTGCAACTGTACCAGCTATATCATATTTGCAAGAAAATCTGATGGATTTCTTATTTTCTCCATAGTGATACGATAGCTAAAAAGCAATGTCAAATCCTAGATGTTTTCAAAAAACATTTCTCTTATTTTTGATGCCTCTGTTTGCTGGTTCTAAAGGCAGATGCTCTGTTTGTCCCTTGCGTAATGCAGCCCGGGTTAGAATCTTTATCTTGAGAGGTAACCCAGTGCCACCTCCTCTGTAATATATTAAGGCTCACTAAATTTGTATCAAAATTGCTCTAAGTATTTCCCAAACGCCTTATCGCAACATCAAATAATGGATTGTCATAAAGTCCAGTTTGAGTCAAAGTACCTTTGCAATATGGTGTTACTTAAAACAAAGCCATGTTCTAAAAATACCCAAAGCAGGATGGCACTCAGCAGCAGGGGAGCCCTGGAAAAATTCAAAACCACAGGTGTTCCACTCAAAACAGTGACAGCCCCAAGCTGAGCCCTCATCTGGACTCTGACAAAAGCCTATTTTACCGTCAACTGAAGCTGCTGGGCTTACAATATAGCAGGCGGGGTCTGATGCAAACTGTAGCTTGAATGGCTTGCAAATTGGCTTTCTTTTCATTTCAGAAATTCAATTTGATTCTTTCTAAATTGGCATCCAGTCTCCTATACTGCCAATGCCCAGTAATCCAGGAGCTGATTATCCATCCAGCTTGGGGGTTATGCCTTTCCTTGAGCGTATCATATTTGCTGCCTGCTAAAAATCCCCCCAAACTCTGCTTGGCTGGGGGACAGCTGCAACTCTAAACCAGTGATTCTCCATAGTGGGTGAATGCTGCCCAGAGGATATCTGGCAAGGTCTGGAGATGGTTTTGGTTGTCACAACTCCCAGGAGGTGGATGGGGGAAGGGGTGCTACAGGTATCTTGTAGGTAGAGGACAGAGGTGCTGCTCAACATCCCATAATGTATAGGACAGTCCCCCACAACTAAGATTTATCTTACTCAAAATGTCAATCATTCTGTGGTTGGGAAACCGTGCCCTAAATTGTAAAGCTGATCGGAAGAAACATAATAATTGTTGAATGCGATCTCTGGCACTTGAGAGCGACCGATGTTAGGCGCTGCCAGTTATTACTTGTATGAGCTTCCTACTTAAGCCTTCATTTGCTCATCTCTAAAATGACAGTGATATTACATTATAGCTTCTTTCTAGGAATAAACAAAAAATGCATGTAAAGTGCTGGGTTGTGCTTGTCAGTGGTGAGCATTTAGATGTACCTATAACACAATCTAATGTAAAACAGTATACAAAATATAATGTGACATAATCATAAAACCTTTTGTTCCTTTCTCTTTGCCTGGCTACTTTCAGAAATCTTGAAAAATGTTTATATGTTCATGATCTGTTGATTCGGCATATGTTTACCAAGCACATACTACGCTCTATGCACTGGCTAGGCACTGCGGAGAACTTATCCAAGAGGATAATATACCCTCTACCATTAAGGAGAGTTCATGTCAGGAAAAGAGATAAGGAATGACAGAATTAATATTGAAAAGGAAGTATAACAGCTAAAAGAGTTGGAGCAGTTAAGTAGGCAAAAAAAGTGTACAAAGTGTGTGCTTATATATAACATTTTCTTTCTCAAATTTTTAAAGGAAAAAAAAAATCTTACCAAGGAAGTAATAATTGTCCCTGACTTTAAAGATGGTAAATTGAAGCTTAGGAGAGTCTATGAATTCTGACGTGTCTAAGTCATAGAGCAGGTGAGTAGTTGACATGGATGTGCAACCTAGGGCTTTCTGACTCTCCTGCCCTCGTAACTCTTAGGCAATCTTCCACAGAGATTGTCTTGGGGAAGTAGATGAGGAAAAGGGGGACTCCTACCGTAGGAAGCCTTTAATTCCAGGCTAGTGCCATTGTGCTTAATTTTTTCATGGTATCTGCTCCTAAATGATCTTGCTTAAGGGTTATTTGGCAATCCTCATTAAGTAATTTGTGACACTGTGACAATGTCAAGAGATTGATAAATAACTTTTCCTCCACATGTCTAAAAAAGGGGGGGGGTGATAAAATAACACATTATACTTTTATGACAGATTATGTTTTACAAACACTTTCTCATCTCAATAAACTTTTTCATGTCTGCCTCCTTTCTCCCTAAAAAAGAAAGAAACACAGGTTTCAGACAGGCAATGTATGCTATTAAAAGTCAAGATGAATTTAGAAAGAAAATCTGCTCTAAAGGCTCGCCATCTTTCTACTCCATCATGATCCTTAGAAATTTTACTAGAATAAAATATTTTAATGCTCCCTACGTCTCGGAGCAGGATTCCTCTTTTTGAAGAATGGAACAGTGATGCGTTTCACTGTTTTGGGTGAAGGATGTATTAATAACATATTTGATGGATGAAAATTCACATTAGAGTCTGAGAAATACGATGAAAAGCTGTTTTGTAAGATGGTGCTGTGTTTATTCTGTAAGAGAGGCAGCAAGCATTGAGACCCAAATACCACTGTGCTGGTCCTATCCACATACTGTCAGGTGGCCCTGGGTACAGTGATCCTCAAATGTCATATATTTTTAATGGAAAGTATCACTTATTTCCTGTCCAAGCAGCAGACTGATTCCTCTATTTTAAATTCTGTTCTACCTCCAAGACCTAGAATTTATTTAATTCTGTCCAGAGTGCCTACCACAATACTATGCCCATAGATAACAAATAAAGGTCTTCTTTGCTTAAAATTCGCCATGGACATATCAAATTGACCTTATTATACAGATCCATTTTTGCTTTTGGTGAAGAAACAGGTTTCTCCGTGGCCCCTAAAAGCATACTGGCCTTGAACTCTCTCTGAGGACTATTATAATTTAGATACTCAGTAACTTCCATGGTAAATCAAACAGTAAAATTCAGGGAGGGGAAAATAGAGAGAGGAGAGGTTCTTTGGGTTGTTTCCTGCAGCCCAAATGTCACCACATCAGCGGGTCATTCTGGTCCTGCGGCTCAACCAGCACAAGGGAGGTGGCTGCCTCATCCTTTTGCTGTGGGGTTGCTGGCTAAAGCCACAGAAGTCTGCACATGTGGGGAACGTACCCTGCCAGGCAGCAAAGTGGTGACTGTGCTGAGAGGGAGGAAGCCAAGTGGTTTTACAAAACCAAGGATAAGGTACAGCAAGGGTTTGAAGTCAGGGACCCAGCAAGGACAATCTGGCCACAAGAAAGTAACTACTAAAGGATGTAGACAAGAACAAGTAAGAATTAGAAAGCAAGGCCCACCAGTCTCGTGCAGTATGCAAGGGTCTAAAGTAAACAGGATTAGAGTCTCTGAACAAGGCCCAATACTTCAGAGGAAGGATGAGATGGTTTTGAGGGGAAACAAGCACTGCAATTGGCCAGTGTGTGGTTTATTGCTAGTTGTGTGACTGGGGCTGAGGAATGTCCCGTGGGGACCTTAGCTCTCTCACCTATAAAGGAAAGTGCTAAATATCCCTTTCAAGACAAAAATTGGTTGTCTTATGATGTCCATGTTATAGAAAATTTCATGATAGGAAAAAACATATAACAGTTCTGAGGTTAGTAAATGAATCATTTTTTGGTGACTTAAGGTGGCGATTGGCCAGTGGGGAAGTTCTGCATGGGAAGCAGCAGGCTCTCAATGCAGAGCTCCTGCACCAAGAGGCAGCTGTATTTCACGGGATGAACAGTCATCCTCTTGAATCTGAGGGCATTTATTCTTTGTCACTGGCTTTGACATACATGAGCACCGTTTTTTTGTTGTTGTTGTTTTTAATCTCACCTGGCTCACATGCATGAATGTGTCAAGATGAGGATGTAGGCTGCAAATGTGTCTAGAAGACTGATATCAATGAACCGAGCTGTTATTTTCTTGTATTAACTATTTGACCACACACTCCAGATTGAAATGCCCTCTCACTGCCCACACTCATTGCCCTAGAGGCTTATGCATCACCAGGGGATGGATAGGCTTTGACAACCTGGCTCATCTCCTAACGGTATAATGATCAACACAGTTTCGGGGACGGGGGACATGTTTGGCACCAACGGCTGAGGTATTAAATCATAGATGTTAGATGCAAGCTAGTTAATTGTTTTAAAACTTTGCTTTAACACTTTCTTAGAAAAGTCGCACCGTCAAATACTGTAAGAATTTGCTGATATTTTATCTTATATAGTAAGTAGTTAATATCTGTTAACGATGAAAAAAAAATGAACGACGAGATAAGTGACCTCTATTTTTTTGCCTGAATGTTTATGCCTTTTCCCCCACAGCATCCTGACTCCAAGTATCAACTGAAGAAAAGAATCACCTCCCTGACCTTGCCAATAGTTCCATCCCTCGAGGCCAGCAAGGTCCTCACTAGAGCTCCCATCGCATTGCCGTCAACGCCTATCACACCCCCGCCACCCTCTCCCGCCTTTGGAGGCACCAGTAAAATAGACCAGTATTCACGGATTCTCTTCCCAGTTGCATTTGCAGGATTCAACCTCGTATACTGGATAGTTTATCTTTCCAAAGACACAATGGAAGTGAGCAGCAGTGTTGAATAGCTTGCAGCCAGGACACTGTGTATTATATCAGTTCTCATTTTCTGAATTTTTTAAAAAAAAATAGCATCGAGACTTGCGTGGATGCATTTCTGAACACGAAATCGAAATTGAAAATCTGTAACACGTAGCTTTCAGTAAGTATATATAAGCCCAAAAGCAATCATCTTACTCCTCAAAATTGGAAATTGAAGGTTTCAGAAAAATAGGATTCTTCTGTACATTAGGGGAACATTTTACAAGAAGATAAGATGGATTCAAGGAGAATTTGCCAATCCTTGTCCTTCGTTCGTCAATATTTTCATTGTCACTATGAATAGCATTTACCACAAAGCAGATACAATAAGAAATGCTGACACTTCCAAAGGTGGCCTTAAAATATGTGAATTTTGGCTTAGTTTTCAAGAGAGCAAACCATAGTGTAAATATTTATCACGAGGTCCATACCAACATGTTGGAAGCGTTTATGCTAGTGAAACGGCTTTCAGCACATCATAAAGCCTGAATGGAACTTAGCCATGTGTTTCTGACCTTGTTGTGGTATTTTACCTCAATGAAGTCTGGTGTTTGTATACATATGAATTATACATAGACCATAAATTACATATACATATGTACAGAGCTTTAGTGGGACTGCAATATTGTTGTTTTATCTTGTAAGCTTTCCTTTTAAAATAATACACTCACATAATTCCATGGAGAAACACATTGGGATTATAAGGGAGCCTTGTATATTATGACTGTCATTATATCTCACATTTTCTACCTTTCTGAGTACACCACTGAATAAAGTGACAATAAACCTGGTTGTCTCGATCTGCTTCATAAAGCTGGAGGGAAGGGTTTCCTTAAGTAAAGAGGAATGAAGTGGCTACCTCTACCCCGATGTTACTGTCCCTGGTGATTCTGAGAGGTGGAAGGTAAGGCCAGGCTCAGTCACCTAGCTCTAAAACAAAAGACTTGAACTTGTACTCAGATAGTCAGTCCTTCGTCTCCCTCCTGCTCACTCAACAGACTTTCATTTATAAGAGAATCAGGTCTGGGGAGCTAATGTACAGCACGCTAACTATCGTTGATAATACTGCATCGTATACTTGAAACTTGATAATGGTGTGAACTTAAATGTTCGCACCGAAAAAGAAAAAAAAAAGTAAATATGTGAGGTGATGGATATGTTAACTAACTCGCTGGGGGGAAACATTTCACAATGCATACACATATAATCATGTATATACTTTAAATATCTTGCAATTGTGTCAGTTATACCTCAATAAAGCTGAAAAAAAATGAATAAGGCTATTCTTCTCCCTTTTTACTATTCTAGCTCTTCCTGATGCTAACTCTAGCCACGTTTCTCCCATTCAGAAGCGTCTTGGGGAAACAGGAACTACTAGGAGTAGGAGAAAGCATGAGCTGTGGTCTGTCCAAATCGATAAATGCCTCATTAGCTGTTGCTGGGTCTTAAACATCTTTGAGATCACCCTCAGCTCTAACCCAGGAAGAAATATTTTAGAATTACTACTCTTGAATTTATCCAAGAAAATGTAACAATTCTACGGCCAAATAAATTAGGTGTTTAATAAAAATAGACTCTACTAAGGGTGAGGAGGCTGAGATCTCATTTCAACTTTCCTATTAATTAACTTCATGTCCAAATCTCTTGATCTTAGGGAGATTTAGTTCAATTTCCATCTATAGAATTAGGGGGTGGATTAGATGCCCTCTAAAGGGCCTTATGGTTTGAACAATTTATATTTGTTTCATTACTATCCTTTTCTGTCTAAATTAAGTTAGCCTAATTGTACAGGGCCTGCTTCTATTTTAGGAAGTACGCTAAATAAGTAAATGGTAGGTAGGTATGAAATATCTTATACGCGATATTATATTTCATCTTCCTCACAAGCCTGTGAAGTATATACTACTATTACCTGCATTTAAAGATGAGAAATCAAGGCACAGAGAGGGTAAGTCATTTTGTTCAAAATCAAGTGTCTCTCAAGCACTACAGTTGAGAGTCCTGCACAGGCAATTTGACTCCACAGCTTTGTTCACTTACCCATAACCATGCATGTCCTTATCTAATCCAGTGTGACTCTATTCTTTAATCCCCTCCACAATTCTCTCACCTTGTTTTTCATTTCCTGTAATAGCTTTCCTGGTGTTCGGACATCCTTCCTGCCCTTCTTTGGCATTCATTCTACATGATACTTCAAAGGACATTATTCTCAGTCAACATTTATGCTTAGATATGAAACACATCATAAAACTAACTAAAATAATTGGATATTATACTCATTAGATTTCTCCTCACAGAAGGCATTTTAAAAAATTCATAAAATTATAAAACTTCTGAATAGTTAAGGATGCCAGGGAATACTACTTCTCAATGCGCTTCATGGGGTGGTAATAGAGGTTAACTGACAACGGACCAGTTTTGCTATTGGGGAGGCGAGAAGTTGAATCAAAGTGAAGTAAGTTTCTTTTCTGTTGGACTTCTCAGAGACTTATTATGCTTGTGTGTACTTGGAGTTTGCTATAGTATCTAACTTTTCCCAAATTCACACAGCCATTAAGTATCATTTGCACAGAAGAAGTACTGGGATTAGCATTCCCCAGAAAACACAGCCTTATCATTATTTATACTATCCCTTCCATTATCACCTCCCAATTAAACAGTATGGGATTGAGTCTCTGAACTGAGATATGACTTACCCCAGAAATCACAGCTATTAGAGACCAAATTCGAATGGTGTAAAATATTGTAGAAACAAGATTAGATGTTTTAAAAGAATTTAACATGGGCCAGCCAAGTGGCACATTGGTTAGGAGTTGGCTTGGGATGCCAGCTCTGAGCAGCAGGACCACGGATCGGATCCCATGTGAGGGCCAGTGACACTGCCCTCTACAGCTAAGATGGTGAACAACAGCTCAACCTGGAGCTAGGCTGCTGTGACTCACCAGCGATGTTGGTAGGCTGCAGTGGGGCTGGCTGGCAGCGGGCGTGAGCTTTCGTGAGCAGCCGTACAATGGCCAGTGAGTGACTGCATCAGCCGGGAAGAGCACAATGATAATACCAACATGAGCCAGTGAATAGATGTCCTCCACAACTAGACTGAAGAACAAAAGGACAGCAACTTGTCTGTTGCCCTTCCCTGATTCCCCAATGCTGTTCTCTTCCCCTAATTCCCAAATAAAATTATTAAAAATAAATAAATAAGAGAATTTAACATAGTTCAATGAGAAACACGAAGGTAATAACTTCAGGAGGCAGACACCCAAAGGAAGACGATAGGGTAGAAATTTGGGTAATTAGCTTTACTCAATCACGTGAAGAGAGAACACTACCTGGATAGTGACAGTGGCTCAGCAGCTCAGAGAGGGAAACCCCAGAGCAGGGGACCAGACCTCCAAGGACGGGGTGCACCCGGCTGATGCTGGTGTCACGGGGAAGCAGAGGAGGGGCTCCTCAGAGCTGGGTCTCAGGACTCTGAGCTCTGCCCACGTGCTACGAGCATCTCAGGAGGGCACAGGCAACACTTGCGCCTTTGGGGTCAGACCTGCAAGGAGAAGGGTCCATTTGCCTGAAACTGACACCTCTGGAAGGGCACGAGGAGGCTAGTTGTAGGAGTGCAAACAACTGGAGACTAGAACCAAGTGTTGTCTCAGGCAAAGAGGAGCATGAAAAGGCAAAGCAAGTCAACAAAAGGGAGGCTCCTCCTTTCCCTCTCCACCAGCTTCCTAGTCTCTCTCCAGTGACTCCTATTGAAAGAACCTGACAGAAACCCTAGTGACAGAGGGTCCATGAAGAGGGTCCACGCCCCAAGATCACAAAATAGAGCACAAAAGGTGGGATTTGGAGCTGAGAGATAAACACTTATTAACTGACATAATTCACCCCTTTGGTTATTCAGTACCATACACACACTTCTGTACATATTTATATTATTTCATAATAGTAAGAAGTAAGCATCCTTCATACAAACAGAAATGTTATCATCATTTGTCCAAACACGATATACACGAAATCCAAGTAGCCACTATAGCCATTTCCAGGCAACGGTAATGATATTTAATCTTCTAACACAGCCACAGAAATGAACATTCTGTTTCCCAAGACTCAATTCTAAGTGGTTTTTTTTGAGGAAACACCATTATATAAAATAGTATGGTAATAGGAGAAGGGAAATCAAAAGTAAGTACTTAATATAAACAAATATAAATATGTCTAAATATCTATGTGATCTTTATGGATAGAGAGATCTTTATGTCTATGAAAATAATAGCAAGCAAAGAAAAAATATGTATACTTCTATATTCTCCTTTCTGTAGTTAGTTACATGACTGTTGTTGATATCACTATAACTACTTTCTTCTATTATCCTTTTCTTTCAGTCAGCATCTCAGCTCGTTAATTTGGAGATTTCTAATAGGCTGAATTATTGAAGGGTCTTAACCCAAGGATAGGATGTTTTTCTCCCATCCAGAGATAGACTGTTTCCACTAAGAAAGTCTTAGAAAGCCTTGGAGGTCTAAGATTCTCCACACTGTTCGAGTCTACTCAGATGTCACCATACAAGTTTTAGCCTCACTTGCCTTCCCGAATACTGTCCTGACTTTCCTATCAAGTGTAAGATTTTGACTTATAGTGTAATTCTACAATTAGCACAAAACATGCATCTATTTTTAAGAGAAGCCAGCCCTGCACCTACAAGAAATAAGATATTCTTTTAAGACTGCCATAAAAGTTCTTTTGTTCTCTATTAGTTGAAATAAAAACTAAAAGCCCTGAGCTTGTACTTATCTGTCTGTAGATTCTCCAGTGCAGTTAGAAGAAGCCAGCCCACCCACAGTTCTCACAGTCATCATAAATACTAGAAAAATGAAAGACACTTGGTTCTCAGGACATTTCATTACAACAAACAAGAAGCGATAATTTTATATGGTTCATTGTGGTGCAACTTCATATTATGAATTGCTAGTGTCTCATTTCCCACAGGAAAGGTGGTCAGTGCTTCCTTCATTAAAGGACTGGACATGACCAAATGAATCTCAGAATCTCCTGGTATCAAGTACAGTTCAGATAGAAAAACAGCCACCTTCCTTAGGGATGGGGAAGAAAATTAAGGGGCTGGGTCAGCATCTTGGGGAAGGTTCCCAAGGAGCTGGGGCTCAGGCCTTTAAGAAGCGGATGATGCGTTTATGATGAAGCTAGTTCCGGGAATGCAGTGAGAGCCTAGAGTCCGACCCATGTGCTGCCGCCAGAGGGGAAGGTCACTGTCGGGGCAGTCTTTATATGAAAACAGCCTTAGGATGGGATGCGGAAGCTCCTTCCTTTTATTTCTGCCTCATCTCCCCATAGTACCCCCTGCTCTCAGAACTGAGTAGACAGCATCTTAAATGGAGAAATGAAAACTGTAGTTTAGCATCTGTGTTATAAAGTATAAAAGGGTGGATTTACAACTAAGAGACAATAGCTTAAACAGGAACACAGACTGGAACCTAAACTATTCTGCTGTCCAGTTTATAAGCTTTAAAATGCCTCCTAAATGACTGCATTTCAGGAGCCATAATGAGCTCGTGAAGGAACCATGCAGGAGCGGGAGGCTTGTCAGAAAGCACTTCCTGGCAAAATCCCACTTTCATAAGTTATCGTCCAGTGAGTTTGCATGTATGAACCTGCTTAGAACAGCGCCAGGCCTATGTAAGGTGCCACAGTATCATCATGATATCATCTTACTATATGCTGGTATTAAGCATTAATACACAATTGATAAAGTTAAGGTTAAAAGCATTCCCTGTCAGGTCTA